TTTTTAACACAAATATTGTTTGTAAAGTTAGAATTTTTCCAAAATATTTTTTGAATTTGATTTATTGAAATTGCTTAACTTTTAGAAGTTATTGGAAAAATGTTTAATTTGTTTAGGTATTCAAAAATTTAAAAATTCCAAAATTAAATTTAAATTTAGTTGTTATATAATACAAAAAAATGTTATACAAATATCACTAAGTTTGATAATTGACTAAATCAATCCTTTTTTGGACATCATTGTATGACATTGCCCTAATCTTTGTTATTCATATCTATAAGTTTCTGTTATTGTAGCAGTAAATGCTATTCATTACTTTCCAACTGCTAATAATTCTCAAGTTTTTAGTAGGTTTCTCATGGCTTGATTAGAAGCTATAGTTTCTTAAAGAGATATTTTTATTTTTTCAAACAATACTTTTTATAATTTTAAGAATATTATTGCTCTTAATTTTTGGTATGAATTACATAATCTTTTATTATATTACCTTAGTTTGTTTTGAAAGATTCTGGAGCAATTGATATTTTATAATATATTTTAAAATATTAACGCAATATTTAAGTCAATACTCGTGTGAAATAATGTAAAAAGATGTCGATTTCCACAAATTACTTAACAATATTTAATAATATTGTTAATTTTTAATTTAAATCACCATATATAAAAGGGATAATAAATAATTCTTCTTATTTATTACTTACTATATAATTATAAACTGATTCTCCTGTTAGACTTATTAAAAAGTGTAAGACTAATTGAAGCTTTGAAGAAACTTTGATATATATGTAATTTATATTTATATAAGCTTTGACATAACTATACAGTAATGATAAATTACTATAGGTTAAAAATAAATAAGCATTTATAAATAAAGACAAAGTTACAATGCGTATTTATTCAATTTATTTTTTATAGTTTATTTAAAGATATCGGTAAACGCTGTATTGTTTGAATAAATTTTTTAAATATTTCATATTGCTGTAATACGTATTCATTATTTTAACTATTATCTAATATTTTATTATTTATTTTAATATTTCATTTGTTATTAACTAAATATGATGTACATAAATTATAATAAATAAATAAATGTATACATTTTTCACTTTTTCTATATTTCGTATCCTATATATTTTCTATATATAAGTTTCTTCAAAAAAATAAGTTGCAAAAGAATATTAAAATATATTATTCATACTAATAATAAGATTTGCAAGTATTGACGTAGTTAATATACGTTACCAAGTGATTTTCAAATAGGCGAACAATATCGAAAAATAGTTTTTATGACAATTTCATGTTTATATATCATTTGAAAAAACTGGAAATAATTTGACATTTATCATTTAAAAATACACATTATCCAAAAATTCGAGGTTTACATTTTTTTTACCGAAACCCAATTTTAAAGATTTAAATACTGTTTGAGCTTAAAATTTAAAATACTAGTGATAAAATTCATCGTATCAAATTATTCCAACGTTCCATTTTTTGTATATAAAAGTATCTTGAAAAGAACACAAAAATAATATTTGAAAACAACTATATTGTACTATATTTCATGGCGGGATAGTCGACCTGTCATTTACAAAATTTATTTATAGTTTTTATAAATTGTCTTATAATTGTTCGATATGGATCTGAAGTTTTTTTTATTAATTTTTATAGGGTATACTTTATATATATTTTTACGGGCTTCCCTTTCCGATAATAAGTATAAAATACTATATATGTAAATAGAAACCAAATAAAAATTGATGCTCTATATTCATTGGTTAACAGTAAAATATACGTATTTAGAAGAGATGTAATGATTATACATCATTAGTTTTTCGTAATTTTACAGGTATATTCGAGTTCGAATCGTAATACGTGAATAAATTATGAAGTTTCTCTCTCTCTCTCTCTCTCTCTCTCTCTCTCTCTCTCTCTCTGTCATGCGCACAGATATACACTCCATATATTGTACTCGGATTGTATCACTAACCCACTTTTGTTTAAAGATGCGAGACACATATTTCATAAAAAAAATTAATTCCTGCAATAACTAATTGTGTTAAAAATTGAAAGTTTAAAAAGTAATTAATATAAATTTTTATTAATATATTTTATATAATATTTTACTTTAATTCTCAAAAAATGAAACAATAATAACATTGAATACAAATTAATATACGTTTTTACTAATTTCGAAATGAATTAGGTATTGTTAATGAAATTTATACTATATTTTACAACATAATACTTATATTACAATATGAATTTAATTTATAAAATATGATATGATTGCATATGCAAAAAATATTTTTTATAATTAATTTTCATGTCATAAAGAATAAGTTAACTAATAATTATGGTAAAATGTATTTCATATTTTATTTTCAAGTATCCTACACTATATAAGAATAAATTTTAAATTGTACACATTTATAAACATACATAGTATTTAGTTTTTAATGAAATTTTTAAATAAAATAATACAACTATTTTTGTTAAAAATCACAACTAATGGTCGTAGACATAAATATGCTAAAAGTAGTTTCCAAAAATTATTGACTAATGTGCATAATTCTTATGCATATACTTTATTATACTTTAAGAATTATATGAAATATAATATTTTTTAATAATTTATATTTCAAGTATTCAATATTAGATCGAAAGAAAAATATTTTATAATTAAACAAATATCTATAATTTCTACCTCTATTGATCTACTATCTATTTACATATAATCATATAATGTAAAATTAACACATTTAATTTTACTACCATTATAAATTTTACGAAAGTATCAAATATTAAACGACTATAATAAGTAAACAATGAACAATAACTACTTGTAACTAAGATAAGTTGTTTTAATCAATATTATTATAAAATAAAAAAAATTATTTTATCTATTTTCATACATTGTAGTTAATACAATATTAACAAAATATATGTATAAATATATAGTTAAACAAGATAAAAATATATTTAGTTACAAAATAAATAATTATCAGTTTATAATTGTATTTTTTCTGAATATTAAGATATTATTACTATACAAATAATTTTAAATCAAAATATTTCTTAAATTATAAATTTATTGAAATAAAAATCGAAAATAAAAAAAACAGAATATTTAATTAATTTTGAAACATGATAATCATTAATTCATTAAAAACTCATCTACTATTCTCAATATAATGAAATTTATATGATACATATCAATAAGTTTGCTTACAAAAAAAAAACAGTTTATATTTGAATTTCAGTTTCTTTTATGAAGAAATCGATATTTTACAAGTATTGTGAGTACAAAATTATTTCCATAAGATAATTTAACTAGTATTTAACTATATTATTATATATTATATATATATATATATATATATATTCTATATATAGTATAATAACTATATAATGAACATATATGATAAAAAAAAGATAAATTATACTTTTTATAATAATGTTAACATTTTAAAAAAGGTTTTAAGTTGTAAAGATAAATTATGTTCATAAATAATTATTTAATATATAAATTATCGAATATGTATATTTTGAATTTAAATGAATTTTGAAATTTATTAAATTGATAATGTCGATTAAATCAATAAAAAAATATAAAGTATTTATAAAATACTTACTTATATCACTAAATCAATTGATTTATTAAATAAAATAGTATAATAAATTTATTTTATAATTTAACGATTAAGGATTTCGGACATAGAGAATAGATTAAACTTTAAATTTCTGATTGTCAATCTAATAATTTTACTGCGCTTTATGTTCTCAATACATTATCTAGTACCATTTCCTTCTTATCTAATTGTATATTCGATACACATTAAAAATATCTTTTATTCTTTCTAGAGAAAGTTGTTTTTGTTTGTTAATAATTTTCAATTATGAAATTTTTAGTAATGCGACGCTACAAATAAAATGTAGTCTTTAATATATTTTCAAATGTAATTAATCAATTATAGGATAGAGCAATTATTATAATAAATATTTGACTAACATATTTATGAATAATATAAATATTTATAAATATTCGAATTTTAAAATCTCAATCATAAATTTCTAAATTTATATAATTTCAAAAATTATATAATTAAATAACTTGGATGGTCAGATATCTATATTTTGCTCAGTATATCAAAATTAAAATAAAGTTAAATCTTTATTTTTTTACACATATTTATAAAAAAAATTTTTGCGAATTTAATCCTAACCCAAATTTTCATTATTCGCGAAAATAGGATAATTTCGATAGTTACTTTTTGAGATCAAGAGAATAACAAAATGCTTACCAAATTTTATAAATCATTCATTTCAGATCTCTTGTTTTTTTTATTATTATTGATTTTTTAAAATTTGTTTAATTGAGGTGGAATAGTTGGATTAGAATAATGCCCACGAACAAGGAGTCTTGATGTGTAAAAAAGTAGCATCTTAGCTTCAAGTGAAAAAGTAAAAACCATCAGAAAAGTCAAGAAATAATTAAAATATTCATTTTATTCGGTGAATATTTATGAATATATACTTTTTTAAAAATATTTTTATTTATTGTTTTTCGTAATTTGACGAGTATTAAGAGCAAAGCGCACGCAATCATGGATGCACATGTGTGGTGCAAGCGCATGACAATGTATAGACTCATATGTATGATGTAAAAGTGTACACATGCAAACATGCTATTTCACTGAATATAAGATGGAAATAGGTAAAGAAAAAAGAAGAAAATATGAGATATGATTTTTAGGTTTTGAGAAAATCACCGACTTAAATCCCAATCTAAATTCCCACTAAAATTCTCCAATCTTGCATTCATTCTTTTTTCACTCCATCAGAAAGTATTTAATTCACTTTTAGAAGTATTTACAAACAAAATTTTAAAAGAATTAAAAAATTTTTTATTTAAAATATTTTCGGGTATATTTAATAAGTGGATTTCAATGTCCTTCACATTTTAATTACATATTAGTGTATAATTTCGTACATATACTCACATTGGTGGAGTCTTATATCGTTTTCGTATTCGTGTAGAAATACGCGAATGCCCAGCAATCCGAAATTTACGAGATTGTAAAATGTAAATCAAATAGAGAAAGAAAAAGAGTTGAACTTATTCCTGTCTAAATAATCTGTCAGCGGCTCCTGATGACGAGCCGCATCGTGTTACGCTTAGCGGTCACGCGCGAATACCAACTTAATAATCTCAGGAGTACTGATTACGCAGCCGCGAGCTGAACTATGCTTAACTTGCCTGCCACACTACCACTGGCTAACTGCTCACTACTGACTGCCAAGTTGCTGGTCGACTTGACTGATTTGAGCAGATTGACGTCATAGTTAGATATTTCTGACAACTTGTAGATATAAGTCTGCGAGAGAGGCAAGATCGATGAAGCTTCTTTTTTATACACTCAATAAACGTAAACTATAAATTGTGCATGGCACATATACTATCTTTTCAATTTCAGACAATAAGCAAAAACTACACTTTACTCAAATTTGTTTTACCTTTCTTAGTAAATATATGCGAGTATAAAAAATATGATAAAGAAAAAGTGATGTAACAATGAAACGCATATCGAGTATACTCGACGGTTGAACTGGGGGGGGGGGATATAACATAGTACCCTGTGTACATAGCCTACGCTAAAAAGAAACAGTTGTTGATAGTATGATACAACGAAGTAAGCTGCATCAATATTTTGTTTACACCTTATGTGTGTGTATTCCTGAGTGTTTACATGCATTTAATCTAATAATTGTATTAAATTTTTTATTTTTCTTATATATATTTGTAAATACCACTCTTTTTTATTGTAAGACAATTTAGCCTATGAATTAAAATTTCAAAATATAAAACTTAGTTCTATTATATAGCACATTACAAATATATTGTTGCAATTGTTAAAATACAAAATTATAAAAATGTACATAAATAAGTCTTTATAACTTTATGATTTTAAATTACTTATTTTAATAATAGCTTGAATTTAATTAAATTTAACAAAACTATTTTGTTTTTAACTAAACAATATCGAATTTATTTGTAATAATAATCTAATAATATTTGTATTAGAATTTTTCTATTGAAAATATTTAAAATGTAGCATATTTTGAAATACTTCACTTGTACTAATTACTATTTTTATGGATACAAGTTTAGAAATATTATTTCTTCAAATAGGAATAGTATGATAAAATTAATATAAATATAATATAAATTAGATCTATTAGAAATTAAATTTATTCAATTAATGTACCAATTTTTATAAAATATATATGTTATACATATATTTTTATAACTATATAAAAATAGTATAAAAATATAAACATTTTTAAAATAAAAAAAATTATTAAAACAAATTTATATTTAAATAAGAAAATAATAACTTCAGAATTTAAAATTAAACAGTTTTATTTTTAAGTAAAGTTTATTAATTAAGTAAACATATATTCTATTTAAAAAGTTTATTTAATTATTTAAATATAATCAACTTTTTTACACTGCTCTTCAACATATTTTACAGCAAGTGCCTGTATACGAAGAATGTTCTCTTTAGTTCCATATTTTTCTTCAAAGTTTATATATTTCTCGAAAAGAATTTTCATTTTTTTTGTAGAAAGATCTTGTGAAATTGCACGATCTAATATTTTTCTGAAAAAATTTTTAAAAATTTAGCCCTATATACTAATCATACAATCCTATTCATTATTGACAATATTCAAATAATCAGCATTAACCTATTAAAGTATCAAATATATTTAATAAAATTCAAACAGAAGATCACAATCGTTATTAACAATAAAAAATTAAACATTTTTAAGCACAAACTAATTTTATCTTTTATGTAAGAATTTTTTAATTCACAATAAGAAATAAATAATAATGAAAATTACTTTATTATAGAGGTAAAAGTATAATAAATTATATAAACAGAAACGATAATTTTAATATAATATTATTTACATCTAAATAGTTATTATTATTGATTTTATTAATAATAGGTACATTTTATTTGACATTTTATTTAAAATTTAATTTACATTTCAAACAATTGATATACCTAAATATATTTAAATTAATTGCAATAAATAAAAATTTATAGTTTATAACAACAAACTTCTGATTTTTGTTTATTTCTTTTTTGATCATTATACTTAGATTATAAATTTAGCCTTTTAATATGCTAATTTTTTATGAAAAGTGTATGTTAAATTAATGCATAATACACTACATTTCTAATCAGTGATAATATATTAAATTATTACAGATATAAAGTACATTTTTATTAAAAAAATATTTTAAATTACAAAACATTAATTTTTTTAAAATTTAGGAAATTGTATATAATATAATTATATTTAATTATAATTATATATAAAACCATAAATTTTAAAACTAAATAACTTTTATTTTTAATTTAAAGATATTTTTAATTAATTCACTAATAAATAATTCATTTTAAATAAATGTGTAGAAACCAAATAAAAATTAATTTTTACCTTGCAATTTCTATTTCACCTGACTTAACTAATGAGTCTACGTAGGAAAGCCAAACATTTGTTCTTTTCGAATAAGATGACAAAATTTGTTCAAATAATGTTTGAGTTCGTTCCTTGTCACCTAATTTATTCTCTAATTGGGCAAACTGAATCATGAGATTTACATCTACAAAAAGTAATAATATACTATACAAAATAAAGATAGTTTATAAACATATATTTCTATCCTAAACTACTTACGCTTATTTTTTGGCAATGATTGCAAAGCTCTTTGCATAATATCTCTTGATTTATTCTTCATTCCTATTTTTAAGAAAATAGCTCCACAGCTTATCCATGTTTCTGGATGCTGTTTGAATTTATTAATCATAGTTTTAATAATATTTTCAAGTTCAGATTGTTTACCAGTAATTGTATAAATAGTAAGCATATGTTCATAAATTTTTTTAACATCATTTGCTTTTATAGCTTCTTGAAAAACTTCAGTTAGTGATTCTGAAGATCCAAATCTTGATTCTAAATTCAATAAAGCTTGCCAAATGTTCAATTTCTCATTTTCTTCCCGAAAATTTATAACTTTTAAAGCACGTTTTGCTATAGCTCTTGCTTTCTCAATTTCAGTTGTTTGCAAATAATGTGCTATATACTGTATCCAAATTAATGAACTATTTGGATTAGATAAAACTAATTTATCAAATTGATCTACTGTTTGAGGTAACAAAGTACTTGCCAAAACTTCCTCACGTTCACGAATTTCTTTTTCTTTTTGTCGTTCAAGTGCATTTTTCTCTGATGTTGACAATTTTTTTTTTTTTAATTTCTTTGTAGAATCATTAACTTCATCATCACTTGAAGTTTCTATATCCACTCGTTCATTTAATAAGCTATTCCATTTAAATCTACACTTCGCAATATTTAAGTTAAGTGAAAAATTTGTGAAAACTTTTGGAGTCTCCTTTGTTATACAATTAATATTGTAGGTACATTGTTTATCTTTTTTTTTTGGTTTATTTGAATTTTTGTCACTATCGTTTTGTATATTTTCATTTCTTTTTTGACTTTTTAATTTAATTATTTCAATATCTTTATTTATTACTCCTTTATTTGTCATTTGATTAATTTCTCTTTTAATATTATCATTATAATTCATTTTGTATAATTTTTCTACCACAGTTGTATTTTTATTTTCATCTGTAGTTTCCATTTTACGTTTTAGTTTAAGTGAAGAATGAAATGGTTTTTGTTGTTCAATTTTATGGGTTTTAAATGCTGACTTAAGCATACATATAGGCAATAATAAATCAGCTTCTTTTTTATTTAAAATAGTGAAACATCTTATCTTAATTCCAATTTGATAAAGGTTAATATCTGGAATAGTGTCATTTAAATGTCTTCTAACAGGTAAAGTAACTAAAGTTCCTTTTGCTTGACCTTTGAGAATAGCTAATATAAACCAATTTGTAACCAACACTATTTTTCCTCTTAATTCAGTACCTATTGGTATCTTGGATAAATTATTTTGTTTAACCTGTATGCTATTTACATCATTATGAATCATTGTTATTTCCACATATTCTTGAGGATAATTGATCCATAAAACTAAACCTTCTATTTGATCTCCTTGCTTGTAATTCCCAAAAAAATTACCAGTGCTAACAATACCTTTTATATTTTTTTTTAATTTAAGTGTAAGTCCATAATCCATTATGTTTTCTACAGTTCCATTAACTCGTTCACCTATATAAATTTTTGAAATTGATTTACTAGCGTAAAAAATATTTTTTGACAATTCCAATATTTTATTTAAATAACAGCTTAAAACATTGATAGCTGTCATTTTATTTTCACATTCTGTTACATTTTCCCATATTTTATTTAATTTAATAGTTAAATTGATGCTTTGTGTTTCTTTGTCAAGTCTTAAAATTTTACCAAATACGATTTGGTTTTCGTATAAATACTCAAAGTTTCCTACTTCGTTTATAGGAACTGTAACATATTTATAAAATTTTGCAATTGGTAATAAAACTTTTATCGATTCTTTAAATATCTTTGATACAGAACATAATATACTATCCCCAGGATTTAAAGTACTCATTTTATAAGCTATTTCAGGAGCAAATGTTGAACTTAAAATTAATTTAGGGTATGTAGAAAATATAGTAGCAGATAATATATCTCCAGTTACTATTTTTGTTGCAAGCATTTTACCAATTTCATAACAAGGTGACATATGACCCGTAGGAAGAAATGCTATTATACTTTCTCTATTTTTATTTATAATTCTAACATGTATTCCAGCAATTGAAGAATCTATCACAATACCTTCAATTGTATCACCAATTTTATATTTGTAATTCTTAATTTTGCTATTTGAAAGTGCTAATATTATTTTATTTTCATGAATATTTATACTTTTAACTACTGTTTTAATAGTTTGCCCAATAACAAAATTCCAATTTTGTGATTGTTTTTGTAATGTTGTTTGATGATTAAGAAAATGTTTTGGTATCCAACCTTTTACATTACCAAAAAAACTAACAATTATTCCTTCATTTATAATTTTAATAATGGAACCATCATAAACTGAATTAATTTTAGCATCTTCTATTTTACATAAAATTGGTAATTTGCTTTCTACAAGCGATTTTTTTAAAGTAAAAATAATATTTTTTGATAATTTTAAAACTCTCGCAGTAAAACGTTGTCCAACATTTAATTCATTTATTAAACCTGAATCTGAAATTTGATCAAAGGGAACAATTCCAAAAATTTTACCTAAAACGAATATATAGAAATATAAAAATATAAGTAATAGTTAATTATAAATTTTTAGAAGAAATAAATTACCAGTTACAACATTAATATATTTTTTCTTTTCATTAATAGAAGTGATAATTACTTCTGTCCTATTGCCTAGTTCTAAATCACTATGATTGATATATTCGATTAATTTTTTTTCTATTGTGCATATATATAATTTTGCAATTAAATCATAAGTAATTACTTTACATTTATGAACAGAATTTATACTAAATATAGATTCAATTTTTTTAAAATATGGTTTATTATGTTGTAAAGGGATATATCCTCGCAAACCTTTAATTTTCACAAAAATTCCTTTTGAGTCATAAGATACTACTTTTGCCTTGTTAATTATGTCTCCAATTTTTAATAACTTTGTTTCTTGTTCTAAAGATAAAAGACTAAAATAAGCTATTTTTATTAATGGTATAATGTAAAGAAGTCTACCAACTATCTCTTGCTCTTCTTTAAATGATAATAGAGAATGTTGTAAATAAAATTGATTAATGTAACCAATATATTTTCCACTATAATATATTTGTAAGCCATTTTTTGTTATTTTTTTTATTTTAAGAGAATATTGTGTTCCAGGAATTAAATGATCTAAACATGAAACATTTGTTTCTACATTATCTAAATGTTTTGATTTAACTGAAACTTTGATGGTAAAAATATTCTCTTCCACTTCAACATCTTTTATAATACATACAATTTGTTTACCGGGATAAAAATTAACTTTACATTCTACATCTTCTATACATAAAAATGCTCTTAAATTTTTTAATCCAGTTTCCAAAATATATCCATGGTCTTCAATACTTTTTACACTCAGAATAATTTTTGAACCTTTTGTTAACATTTTTGGATTTAAATTCTGATTAATTAAATATGGTTGTAAAGATAAATATATTTTTTTAGAGTCAATATCTTTTACATAACAAATCACATAGTCTCCTTTCTTATATAAATTTGTTAATGGTATTAATTCATTTATTACTTTTTTATTATTTGTTATATTTTTTAATAAATTAGTATAACTTTCACTAATATCTACTACTTGTATTTTCCCTTTTATTTGTCCAGGTAATGACACAATTATATAAATATCTAGAACTTTGAAAATTCTACCCAAAATAATCATTTCTTTATTTAAAGTTGAATATTTTAAATTTTGAGCTAGATTCAAAGTTATTGATTCACCTTGTATTGATAATTTTTCTTTAATTTTATCTTTATATTTATATTTTTTGAGTTTACATTTTGTTAATTTAGAAAGTGACTGAAAAGAATGTTATTAAAGTTAAACATTATGTAATTTATAAATATTATTGTTTAAAAATATTTTTTCTTACCGTTTGTGAAGATTTAATATTACGTGATTTACCTTCTCTAGGAAAATGTTTTAATACCATCTAAAAATAAGAAAATAGCAATATAATTAAATATTATAGTAAATATTTGATAAACTTCTTTACTTTTAATACAACTAAAATACTAATTAATTTATTATGGAATAATCAGATTATTTCAGAACTACAGTTTAAGAAATATTTTAAATAATTTAATTACTGTATTCTTACTTTATCGAATCTTTTGTAAAATAATATAAGGGTTATTTATTCAACTTTATACCTTGTCTGCAGAACTTTCACGTGATGTGTTAATAAAATTTATAGGTTAATTTTCATTAAAAAAAAAAAAAAAAAGCGGCATTCAAGATATTAATTTAAAAAGCATAAAATAAATTAATTATAGGTAATTCAAAAAATAGCTTTTTGAATAATAGATCTATTAATACATAGAATTATAAATTGTATTAAACAAATAAGTATTTTAAATAATATATTTTAAATATACAACTACACTAAAAAAATAAAGTAAATTGAAAATCATGTATTTGATATTTTGTAAATTTCTATTTTTTTATAATTGTTATAAAAATAAATAGTTCTTTGAATTTAAATAATAATTTTATTTTATATTTATCTTGAAATAATTTATTTGTAATTAAAAAAATATATTGGATAATATATACTTTAAATGTATATTAATAATTATATTAGTTCAATTACTTACATATATAAATAATCAAATTATAATTTCTTTATAATCTTATTTTGTTTATTTCTATTATTTTATCATACTTGTTAAAACTGAATTTTGAGTAGCTTTAAAATTGTTTAATCAGCAATTACTATTTTTAATAAAAAACTAAATTATATAAGGTTAAGAGTTTATAATTATATTTTTCAGTTTATAGAGGTTTTGTTTATTTTAAACATAATTATCCGATTTCATTTTATTTAGAAGACTCAAAATTATAGTTTAATAATATAATCATTATTATCATCTATTCAATTATTCGTTTTGATAACCAATTTTTTTTTTTTGGAGGAATAAGTGCGGCTGCTCCATATCTATTTTCATGATTGATAAAATTAAATGTTGCACAGGCATGATAAACTGGTAATATCTCTGTTAAAATTTTATATTTTCTAAAAAGTTCTTTAATATTATGCAAAAATGGAGTATTATATGAATATTTATCATCTAATCCAATAATAAATATATCTAATTTTGGCTCAAGATTTAACAAAAGTGAAAAAGATTCTTCATTCATATCTAAAGAAGAAGCAATATTCCAGCATAACATAGTTTTTGGAAACATTATCATAGGACCTATTACTTTAACTCCATTATTTAATAGAAATCCATTCTAAAAAAGAAATTTAAGATTAAAAATTGTTTAAATGTTTGTTTTATATTTATCCTATTAAATCATACCACATAAATTCCTTTAATCATCAATACATTATCAATATTGTTATCAAAAAGTGTTAAGGTTGAATTACCATCTCTTTTATATAAATAATTAGTTGATGTTACTGATAAACTTCTACATTTATTAAAATAAATAAAGTATAATTATAATTTCATAATTTAATAAAAATATATAGATATAAAGTTTAAACTACCTTTTTAATAAATAAGATGAAGATGAAGTTAAAAGTGTTTTAAACAGATTTGCCATAATATTTACTTAATATCTAGAAGTATAACAATTAAATTTTTATCTTAAATGTATAAAATTTGTAAATACAATTTTATATACAAGAAAAATTAATATAATTAATTTTAGACACTCTTAGTTATTTTAAGTATAACTCTTAAATATTTGATTAAGATAAATTATCAAACAAATTTTAGGTATTAAATCAAAAGGTGTACACGCGCAGCTTTTTTATGCATGCGCAAACGAAATCAAAACATTGTTTTTTTCGAATTTATGTAGCTTAATATCGAGTTTTTAGGATATTTAAACAAGTATTAATAATAGCAGATTACTTGTATAAAAAATTATAAAATAATTTTTATTTATCTACAATAACTTAATTACAATAACTTATTTATTATTTTAAATTTTATATGCAAATTACTATTTTAAACATATATATTTTATTGATATAAATAGAATTTGAATCATATAATGAATATATTTAGATATATTTGTATTATTTGGGTATAAATTAAAAACCACAGAGTAGAATCACCATAAACTTTGCATTTTCTAGAAACAACGAGAACTACATCGTTCGACAAATAGTCTTTGATATGCATGGTTAACATTGACATTATAACTGTGGGCTTTGATTTATAATTTTTTAATTCAAAATTTAGACTTTAATTAATTAACTACATTAAATTAAAAAAATTTGACAAATGGTAGACTTTTAATTTGACAAATAATAGATTTACACTGGAAACTTTCTTATTATTTTTGTGTGTAAGGATTTTCGAATACTCAAGATATGTAATTTAAATAATTCAATAAAAATTATTTAATAAAATTATTTTCATTTGAAATATTGTCATTTTTTTAATAAGGAAATAATATAAAACTTTAATATCGTATAATAAAAGTGAAATCAATTAATTCTATTTTTTAACAATGAAAATGAAACAATAAGAAAATAGAATTTTTTACACGTGATAATAAATTAAATAGCAATTATTTATATTACATACAATTATTATGTGTTATACTATTTTGCAACAAAAGTAATTTACCACATTATTTTACACAAAACAATGAAGTATAAAGAATAAAATTGTATCTTTGAAAATCATCAATACATTTTAAAATATCATAAACCAGGTAAATTACAAAGATAACTGTTAATAATGATAATCTCAGAAGCAAATACTGTTTAATTATTTTTGGTAAGTTTAGTATGCATCTGAAGTCTTTAAACATTTGCTAGTTCTTTGCAAAATCGGATTACTTATTTGTAATATAAGAACTGGTATGAATGGTACGAAGATAAGATATGTAAAATTCTAAATATTAAAAACAGAAATATCATAAACAAACAGAAACATGGAAAAGTTCATAAACTATGAATATATTTTTTATCTTGTGATGCTATTATTATAGAGGATTTATTAATTTATTAATGTAGAGGAAGTTTTTTGGATAATTTATAATCCATATACTAAACAAAAACTTAAAATAATACTGTATCTACGATTTATTATACTATATTGTATCCCGAAAAAAATTAGTATTTTTAAAAAGCAAATATATTTAATCAAATATTAATATAATAAGTATATTAAAGTTTTAATAAAAAGGGAGAAAATTTAAAGTAATAACTAAATTAATGTTATTGTTTTATATTTTATTTAATAATGCTAAATAATATCGTGATAGTTTTTGCATACACGCAATTTATTACAGCGCTGAATGTCACTGGTCATGCACTTCACATCGTCTATTTGTAAACGATTAAAATAAAATTACTTCCATATATGGTCACTGACCTGATGCTAACTCATCATCTTAAATTTCAGTCATGCAAGATTATTTGAGTCTTACGACGTACCAATGTACACATTAATTATATTAATATTTTATAATTTTTATTTAATTCATCCCCATTTCTGCTTTGCTTTGGTTTTACCCAAAATTCTAGATAATCTTGTAATCTTTCTATCAATGCATTTTCCATTTTATTTTATTGTTCTTAAGAATAATTGTCATTTAATGAAACAGTCATATTGTTACAATGTATAAATAAATAAATATATATATTAATTTTATATTTATTATTATATAAGTATTATAATTATATTCTTTTATAGGTGAAAACAAGCCTAAAATATTATACATATTTTTAACTACAGCATTTTTAAAATATAATTATTTAAGTTTCTTTAGTATTGAATTAAAATTTCTAGAACTGTAACAGTCATTACTTATTTTAAGTTATTACTAAATTATTACTATAAAAAATATTGTTAACCTTCCACTTTATTAATATTTTTGAATAAAATTTTAATATTTTGCCATTAGCATCAACAATTAAAATATTTTATTATTTTGATACTGTCCGGAAAATTCTAAAAAACGTGATATTAATATCATAGGTATTCTGAAAAATCAATTCTATACAACATTGCAAAACTACTGACATATATTTATGCTGAACGTTAAAAATAAATAGTAAATCAAAATTTTGAATGAAAATTTTAACAAATAGTAATAGAAAATGTTACAGAGTAGAATAGTAATAGAAAATTAGTTGTTTACTGGTAAAATACGAAAGTTTCTTGCAGCAACAGGTAAACTGCATTTTTTTTATTTACGCATAAAGGTATACTCTTCATTTTGAGCGTATACGGTAAAAAAATTTTTTTATTTTTCATATTTATTACTTTTAAATGAATATTAGAGCATTGTGATAGTGTATCTAAATTTGGAGAAATTTTGATTTATTGCATCTTTTCTTGGATTTTGGTTTATTTTACAGGATTTTATTATACGAGTAACTAGCTCTTAAAGTTGATATATATAGTGAGCAATAATTGTTTCATAATTCGGTAATGTTCCTATTATCTTTTAATATTACTATTAAATATTTATTTTACTATTTATATAACACAAATTTTAATCGTGTTATGTGATGAACTTGACTTACTTTTAAGTTTTGGAATGGAAAATCAAAAGAAGAAAGAAAAGTTAATAAATAATTTTAAAAAAAAAAATTTAAACCAGTCAAAGAAAAAGTTAATAACTAGTAATGATCATATTCTAAAAAAGAGAAAACCTTTACGATTTCATAAAAAAAAGAATGATATTTATGTTAATAATAAAACAAATTTTAAGGTATTACTTCAAACATAACCTTTATTTTATTATATTTTTATCATTACTGTATCAATATTATTTCTAAATAATACTTTATATTATAGTTAATAAATTGAATTTAATAAAATACAATTTGATTTAAAATTAATATTTTTAATCATTAAAGGTGTACTTGAAAATATGTGAAAAATATTTGCATGATTCAAAAGAAGTAACACTGCATGGACTTGGAGCAACCATTAATCGAGTTTGTAATCTGGCATTGTATCTTAAGAAAATCCATTGTGATACTTTAGATTTAGATATAAAAACTTCGTCTATTAATTTAGTTGGTAAGCTATTCTTGTAGAGCTAATATTTTAGATAATAATGATATTAAAAATTTTAACTATTTATTTTATAGATGATTTAGAACCAAATAAAGATGATGCAGATTATAAAATAAATCAAAGGTTAAATTCAGCAATTCATATTCGAGTATTTCCAATTGAATTAGTAAAACCTCTTAGAATTGATAATTGAATTTTAAATAATTTAATTTATTTAATTGCAAATAAAATAATGAGTTTTTAATATATTTAGCCAAGATTATAAATATCTTTTTAATATGATTTTTTCTTTAAATGAATTAGTTCATTGGTTAGGATTAACAATATTTGAAATATGGATAAATTTAATATCATTGACAATTTTTACAATATTACTTGCATTAAAACTAGATAATGAATACTTTATGGATAATTCTGGTTGGTGGATAGTGTTTTCTCCATTATTTGTTGCTGATGGTTTAAATACCTATTTTTGTGCAATTATTTTTATAAGAATGCATATGGGAAGTATGATTAAAGTTGGAATATTGAGAGCATTGTGGAGTTTAATTTCATTACTTTTAGTTTTTGTTTTTAAATATTTGTTATGTAAAAAATTATCAGCACAAAGTACTCTTGAATATTCAGAAGTGCTAAGTCCTGTATTTATTCTTCTACAGTTAATTGCTATAAGAGCTTGTCAACTTCATTAACCTTACCATACAACCAGGGAAATGTGTGTAAATATAGAATAAAATATAGTCAATATAGTATTTTAATATAAGACCTTAAAAACTTATTTAAATATTGATATTTATAATTTACGTTGAAACATTAAAATAATACTACTAAAATAAGGAAAAAATAATTTAACTATATGAATTTGTAATACATAATTTGTAATACATAAGATTAAATAAAATGCATACAAATTAGCTTGTACTAGTAAATATAATTCACTAGTAAAATTAAAAATTGTTACTTTAATTTGTTTCATCTTATATAATTTATATATATATATATATGATGTAATTTAATTGTGAAAGTATTGACATTCTAAATTTGTAAAAATAAAATATATTTGTATATTTTTTAGATTTTCTATATTTTTGATTAAAAGTTTTATTATTTAAAATTATGCAATAATAATGTGAAATTTGTAGGTAATAATATAAATATTGGATCTAGTTTTATAAGAAATCACTTTATTAATAAAAATATGATCTAATTAGAGATAAACATGTTAATATATATATATATACAATCAGAAATTTAAAAAGAATTTAAATCATTAAAATACTAAATTAATATGATTAATAAAGGTATCTAATAATTTGCTGTTATGTATTTGTAATAACTTACTAATATAATTAAATACACTAATAATTTTTATAGAAATTAAATAATTACTGATATTTATTATTTAATCTTCTAAATTCAATTCTATTTTGATAGTAATTTATAAAGTTAAACTGATATAAAATTGAAATTATTGTAACAGAAACTATTTAACTATTAAATATTTTGTGTTAGAATTATATATATAAAATATAATTGAGTAATAATATAGAATTATAAAAATAAAATGGATACTGTAATATAATTTTTTATTTAATGCATCATTTCTTATATATTATTTAAATAATATATAACAATAACAATTTATCTCTTTAAATGGTAAATTAAATAAATCATTCATTCAGTTTTACTTATTTCTTACAGTATTATAACTTCTACAAAATTTTGATTTGTTTATCCAATAACAATAGTAGATAATTAATAGTATACAATAGTAGAGAAATTCATTGGAGAAGCATAAGTTTTTGACTTAGGAGAAATTTGTAAAATATTTGCTATTAATAATTTTTTCTTTTGCAATTAATTATTTGAATTTATTGATAAATTTATAATTACTTATTTTTCTTAGAAAATTAAGCCCTTAAATAAAATTAATATTCTTGTAAGCATTGTACAAGACTGTGAAAGCTTTTTTTACTAATATTTGTAAAGTTAAATGGATATTTTTGAAAGATAGTGGTAAACAGTCATGTTTATAAGATCTTGTGTATTTGACAGTTTAATATTTTTATTGATTTCTTCTTTAATTTCTATTTTTTATTTTCATTCATTAGATGTTTTCTTATTCTTTAATAATTGAACAAGATCGAGCCAAAGTTAATATTTGTATTCAAAATTCAGAAAGAAGATAGTACTAACTGAAGCATGCATTAGAATGTGCAAGTGACATTGGATGAGAAGCAATTTTTAATATCTTAAAATGACGAATATTTTTGTTGAATTTTAAAATAGTTGAATAGTGCAGAACGAACAAACTAAAAATAATCTTAAAAAACTGTTACAAGAGTTAAAAGGCTATAAATAGGCTACTAAATCGATTTATGGTTTATATAGTGGTACCAATATAAATGTCTGCAAACATGTCAATCAATATTAAATTTTTTGTAAATTCATTTCTTTTCTTTTTGAAACATTTGTTTTATTTACATGAATAGAAAAATAAAGTCTATATTTGTAAAAAGAAACAGAATTAAGAACTCATATTTTATGTTATGGCAAAACTCTAAATCTTCAATGAATCGAGTTATCCCATGAGCTTAATTTTGGGCTAATACATATAAAAGTTAAATAATGAATAAAAAAATATTAAAAAAGAATCGTTAATATAATAAGTAGATAAGTATAGTAAAAAGAGACAGGAACAGAAAGATGTATGTAGGTATGCTGAAACATTCACATTGCAAGAGCTTTTTTTATCATTGCTATTTAAAGAACATGATTTATATTGAATTGTGAATGTGACAATGAAATGAAGTTATATATAGCATAGTGAGACTAAGTGAAATTATAAATTGAAAACCGAAAAAAAAAGAAAATATAAAGATCCAAGGAAGAAACAGGCATATAATTGTTTTAATTTACAATTCCTTAAGATACGTAATTGTATAATTACAATCAACAATAGAAATCGTTAACTATATAATTCGAAAGTCATAATATTTATTTATAAAAAAGTAAATATATTTTTGTCTCATTTAAAATTTAATGTAATTAATATTAAATTAAAAAAATAATAGATAATAAATAAAATCTAACATTTGTTACATCTTTATTTTAATATTTTTATTATTAATTGCATAAGATCAAAAATGAATAATACACATTAGCAGTCATTTAAAAAATTAAATTATGTAGCTGTTTCAAATACAAATAAAAAATACTTAACATTATTGTATCTATTGAATTCATTCAATGATTATATTTTAATTTAAAATAAGCCAAAAAGGAAATATAAATCTCTTCACCCCTTATAATTAAAGTAATCTATTTCAGGTTCTGGAGACATTGATGGTGAAACTGATATTATAGACAAAGACTTTAAACTCTTCTTTGAGTTTAGTTGCAAAATATTATTGCTCCTACAATAGAAAATCGAAATTAGTTATATTTATACATATTAATTTCTGTAAATTTAAGTATGAGCAACGTAAAAACTTTGTTAAATAATTAATGATTACAGACAATGATCAATTAAAACAAATGTTATTAAAAAAATATAATATAAAATGTATTTAAATATGTATATGTATTATTAATAATATATTGTACATACACATATTTTTAATTTGAAAAATTATCAAAATTAAATAATTACCTATCAATAATATTAATTTTCGATTTATTCAACATTGGTCCTGGTACTTTTCGTTGTCCATTTTCTCTTTGTAATAATTCCATCAAGCTATAACTTGGTAACCAACACTAAAATGATCATATTGAAACTACATAAATTTTACATAAAACAAAATTAATATGTTAATAGTTAAAATGATTATTACCTTATCTTTTACAGCTGTTGCAACAATGTTACGTTTTGGTTCCTGATCATAGGCCTGGCTCTCGCACCCAAAATGTGCACATAACTCATGCACAAAGTGTCTTTTATCTCTGTTCATACTTTCAAAAGAATAACTGCGAGATTTTTGCTTAGATGCTTTAGCTAGCTGTACAAGCTCAGTAAGTTTATCATGCACCATTTGACAGAAGACAGAATCCCTTTTAGCCCATTGTCTCATGTGCTCGCTATATCTAGGCATTAACTTGCCACACAGATCAGGATTTTCAATTTGTAGTCCAAGGGTCAAACGTCGATTTCTCTCAATTATTTTACATTCATCATTACACTCAAGGGTTTTCAATTGGTTCTGCTTCTTTAATCCTTGACCAAATACTTCTTCAAGATCAATTGAATGCCCTAACTGCATATCTGCCATTTTACTGGCTAGAATTTTGCTAGCTATCCGTTGATAATCTTTGGCATTTTCTGCACATAAACGAGACATAGTTCGGTTTCCACATTGGCAAGTAACCTATAAAAAAACTACAGTTTATTAAGAGAAAAAAAAAGATTTAAAATTAATGCTATCGATGAAGTTATATTAAAACTAATTTAATTTCTTTACTTAACGTTTTCTATATAACATTTAAAATATATGAATAAATATATATATATATATATTTATTTTTATTTTCAATAACATATTATTTATAATTTTCTATTAACTAACCTTGACCGTTTCCTTACATGGTACATCAGGACATTTTCCCTTATGACAAGGTGCTGCGCATATGTGATTGCATATCTCACGTGGGTTCATACATGGTTGTATGCATGTATATCCAAGTTTCTCACAGATGCCTGGATGACAGATCTGAATACATTTATGTTTACCACAGGAAATAGATTTGCCACATGGTAATCCACAAGAAACTTCGTTAACATAACAAGGCACAGCTTTGCGCAGCTCATGTTGGCCATAACACCATTTCTGAGTAAGAACAGTGCAGGGAGGACAGTTCAAATCGCTGTGGCAGTTATGAAGAACTTCATGATCACAAGAATGACTTCGGGAACAGGGTTTGTTGCAAGCAGGTCGACGCGTGCCACATGCTACTGGAGGGTAAATTACTGCTGTACCACACTCACAGTAGAGTTCATCGAAACTAACACGCCAACAAGTCAGACATCTACCTATTGAAAGGAGTGTATTTTCAAATGAAAACATTAAATTGCACTTGTGAGATACTAACAATTATCATATTTATTAGATGATAAATTAGTAAAAATATTTACGTGCATTATCAACCACATCTATTGATTCCAAAAACATGATTATAAAATATCAATTTAAATTATCAAAATAAAATTCTTTGAATTATTAATTAAATAGTTTATTAAAATCAAAATATAATAATTTATACTTGTTTAATAAAAGCTAATTCTGAAAAAATCACTAAAAATATTTACAGAATTCTTGACGTCAAATTAGTAATACTTTTACAAAATAAAATGAATAATTTAGAATATTGCTGTATTTGCATATCAAAAAGATAAGAATAATTTCGTAGTATATGCATTATAATTATATTATATATTTACCTCCATGACACGTTTGTTCACATTTGTGTCTACCACAGCTCAAATATTTCAAACAAGATAGAGGACATATATGTTCAATATCAATGCAACACATTTGATTACACTTGTGTTTACCACAGGAACGCTTTTTTGTACATTTTTTTTTGCAACGAGCATCATCCGCCTTTGTTATTAATTCTTTGCAAGGAATTTCTTTATCCATGTAACCACATCGACATTTTACTTTTGTAAATAACTCACACTCAGGGCATTCCCCTTGGTGGCAGTTTGATTGGCAGGTATGAGCCTTACCTATAAATTAATTTATTATAATTACAAATATTATCAATACACATACAATTCAGTGAGATCTGCATCATTGGAATCTAATAAAACTAAATTTTTTTTTTTTTTTCATATAATTATATATGAATCTTTTACCTTCAAATGTTTTTAAAAAGTGTTATATAATATATTAAAATTTTAATAATGATTTAAGATACTAATGATACAAATTAAAAGTTTAATTATGTATTTTTATTAGGTATAAAAAGTATCATAAACGCACTTGGTTGACCACATTTTAATTGTTTTCCACAGATTTTATCACATGTTGGAATTGGTTCTAAACAGTTTGCTCTTTTAATAGTTAAAATAGTTTCACCACAGCAACAATTTGTAATTGCTTCAGGCTTTAAAACACATGATCTACATTCACCTGGGTGACAAAATTCTTTACAATTATGATTATTACAATCTAATATCTTGTTACAAATGTTTTGACATGAATATGTTGAAGGTAAATTCAAAACACATTTTTCTTCCCGACTGCATTTTAAACAAAAGCATTCTGAAACAAATTTCCAATTAACATTTATAAAAACATAAACATACATACAATTAAAATTTAAGTTAAATATATGAAATTTTTAATAAAATAATTCTTTATAATTTTTGAATGGAATTATTAATGAAAGTAAATTTAAACCTTAAAAATTATGGATTGCAATGTTTCCTTTTTATTTAATGCATATATTAACGTTAAAATCTAGGATTATTTTATAGTATTACTTAAGTAAGCAATAGTCTGATTTAATAATTGTCACAATATAAATTGTAAGATCTTCCTTACAGTATTCAAGATTTTTTACACACTGTTAAATTATAAATCAAAATTGTCAAAATTTTAAAACTTTAAAATAATTAGTGAAGTATAGATTAGAATTTTCTAATTAGTTTTATGTTAATACTAGTAAAAAATAAAAGATAGATGTTTTAATTATAAAAAAATACTAGGAATGGAATTCTTAAGTACTTTTAGATACCTTGCTTGATAATTTTGTCACAGGGTTCGCAATTGCCATGGTGACACTTGTTTTCACATTTATGTATACCACAGTTGAGAGGCTTATCGCAAGTATCATTACATTTAAGTAACAGTCCAGTACTGCACTTCTGGATTTGAGACATCTTACCACAGCCACATGATTTAGTGACCATAGCTGAGCAGGGCGGACATGCTCCTGGATGACAGAGCAGTGTGCATTTATGAACACAATTTAAATCAGAATGTATGCGACCGCACATTTCACCGCAAGAATGTGCAGTATCGTGTCGATTCCAATTTGGCATCTGAATTTTGCCACAGAAGCATTCATAGTAAGATGGTACACCTAAAGTTACCTTTTGGCAAGCTGGGCATCGCCAACCACTTTCTGAAATTCATAGATATATATATATTTATATTCATTAATTTATTTCAATAAACTAATTATTCTTCAAAATCAATGTTAGTTATGTAAATAAAATATTAATTTTCAATTAACTATAACTCTGCCTTATTCCAATTCATATATTTTAATAATTAAATTTACATATATTTTTATTTTACATTTGTTTTATTTTTTTTATGATAAATACATTAATACTAAAAATAATTCAATATTATTTGTTTAGTATATAGTATATATAATATATAAATTTAGTGTTTTTCTTATTCTTACCATCTTGTGATGATAAGGCCCACTTTTGTAAACATTTCAAGTGCAAAACATGATAACAATTTTTACACGACCACACATAATCAATTTGTCGAATAAAATCACAGCAAACCAAACACTCTAATTGACCACGATTTAATTGCTCTGTCAATCTTTCTCTTTGACTTGCATCATCTTCAAAAACATAATAAAAATGTATTGCTATTAAATATCAGTTAGATTAATAAATTAATCTTTATAACTTACCTAATTCATATTTTTTATAATAAATATGTTTCAATGAAGCACTTTTATTTTCTACATTATTTGCTTTTTGCCTCCAATCAGTTACTTCTGTATTTCGATTCTCTCCAAATAAATTTTTAGTTTCTCTTCTTTCATATTTATCTTTCTTATAATTATTTTGATTGCATCCACTAAATTTTAAGTAATTATTTTTTCTGTCTCTGGAATACATATGATTTAAATCAATAGAATCTCTTGTATCTCTAAAATTTCTAGAGTTTTTAGAATTATATCGTATTTTTTTATCATATCTACCACCATTATTTGAAAATATTTTTGAATTTTTTGTGTATTGTAAATTATCCGCTTCAAAAGGTAAAATATATATATTACTACCAATATATTTATCTTGAAATTCTTTTAGTAATTTATCTTCTTCACTATTTGCATTGGTTTCAAAAGTAGTAGTTTCATTATTATTTCTATATTGATTATTTCGTGTTTTATCATAAAATTTTCTATGAGTGCATTTATCATTTTGATACTTTTTAATATTGTGTTTTTTATTATATTTATAATTCTGATTATTTTGTTTATCCCTCCACATTTTATTAGCATCACCTTTATCAAATTTTTTATCATTATATCTTTCTCTATTATTTTCAAAAAATATATTAAATGATTGATCTACATTTTTAGTTTGATTTAATGTGCTTGTTTGTATTGTTTCATTTTTGCTTGAATTTGTATTGGATTCTTTATTTTTTTTATTATAATTTGGTAAAAATTCATTAGCAGTAGCATGTAAATTTGAATGCTGTACAATATCAGTTACTTTATAATCTCTATTTACATATTTATTTCTACTATTATAGAATTTGCTTTTATTGTAATAATATAATTGTTGATCTACTGACTTATTATTTTCATAGAAATTTGGAAGCTGATCGTTATTATTTTTAAAATGTGTTTCTGATGATTCTACATGGACCTGAAATATTTCGAATTGTACATATTATATATTAATTCTTTTAAATTTAGTTATTTATAAATATGAATATTAAACCAATAATTAACTTTATTGATAATATTCTTTTAAACACATATAATTAAAATATATAAAATTTAAAAAAAGTTGCTCATTGATTCATATGATGCATGCATTTTGATATATACAATAAATTTTATATCAATTATTATTATTAGCATATATATAAATTTATTTAATTAATTTATTCAATTACCCCAATGTAATATTTAATTTTTAAAAACTTACTTTGTTATCACAAGTTTGTATTTCATTACGTGTTTCTAAATTTTCTGGTTTTATATTTGAACTTAAAAAAGGAATATTATTTCTGTTAACACTATTATAAAAACTAGGTATATTTGATTCAAAAACCATAGAAGTATTTAATACATATGGGATAGTTTTATCTTGTGCACAAGTGTTGTTAATATTAGAGAGATAGTCCCATGTTGGAACATTTACTGGTATTTGATTTTTATTAGAATTGACATAATAATTTGGTCCATCTGGTTCTGAATATGAGCCATCCCAGGTGGCCATTTAAAAATGAAAACTTGGTTAAAGTACTTTATATCTAAAAGTTCATAACTATAAATTTTATTTTGAAAGAAATCAAATATTTAATTGAAACCAAATAATACCTTATGTACTAATGCACATGTGTATTTTTAGCATTTATTTTATAACCTAATATATCCTTCAAACAATTGCCACTGAAACTGAAAGTTAATATTTATATTAATTAAAAAAGTAATATTTTAAAGGAAAACATTATATATAGAACTAATATAGAAAGTTTACCTTAAATTTATGTACTATAATGACTAAATATAAATTTATATTAATAATCAGAAAAGCATGGTTCTTTTGTGCTTTACTATTATTGATGGTAATTGGCAAACGAGGATTTTGTTAGATTCTGCGCAGTATTAACTTTATGTTGATTGGTTTTTGCATGTTATTCGTTTAAAGTTTCTCATTCTTTCGAGAAATTGTATCATTGTAAATATCTTAATAAACATTGTTATTATTTATCATTATTATTGTAATAAATCATCTTTTCATTTAAATTTATATTTGTTTGTAATCTTATTAATATTACCGTGTTTTAATCAAATGATTTAAATAAGATGCTAACGAAAACTTTTATTCTCAATGAAGTCAAAATGAAATTTATTTTTACCATTACATAAGCATCGGTTATCATCAATGTTGAAATAAAATAATGACTACAAAAGAACTATTCCAGTTTTGTATCCTCGTTCGTAATCATAAGAGTTTTTTTTTAATTATTTCTATTAATTTAAATGTTATTAATCGTTTATGTCATTTGGTAAATAAAAATATAATTATTAAAAAATGTATATAGTAAATAAAATGATAATATAATAGTAAATAAAAATTGATTCTTCGTGATACAGAATATTTTAGAAAATATAAATTTATAAGACTAATAATAATTTGATGTATGAGCTAATATTGATAAAGTCATTATCAAATGGTAATAGTAGAATGGTACTAGTAATTTAGATTGTGACACGGATTAGAATTAAGATTCCACTATGCTATTTATTTTTAATTTAAAATAGGTAATAAGAAATTTATATAGATTGATATAATAATAAATATTTTATTATATTTACTATAGGTTTAAATAGTGTTAAATATAAATAAATACTGAGTAAAATTGGTAAGTATAGTGTTATGGATTACAGCAGTTTTAAGCGGAATAAAAGTGGGAAAGGTATGAGCGCGCGAACATTTGTTTTGTAAACACTGGCCAATGGACTCGAAGAATGCTTCTAACCGAAAAACTCGAATATACGACTATAATTCCGAAAAGTAATAACAAATGAACCCTACAAGGCTATGCCCTGTTGACGTCACGACAAATATTGACATAACAACAGCCACCGATGCGCTATCGGCGCAGCAAGTTCGTACGAGAATATTTAAGGAGCTGCACTTGATGCTCTCGTCCTCTTACTAGTTCAATCAAGCACCCATCACGACAGGATCGCCATTCTACTCATCGGCTCACGCCTGCATGTAAGCAACGCACCACGCTCGTTCTTACATCTTACCTCTACTCATCGGCTCATGCCCGCACGTAATATACACCACTTCGCTCGTTCTTACGGCTTATTAACACATCGGGTCCTGTCAACTACGTAAGCAGCAACACACCACGAACGTGCACCAATACCACTACAACATCTGACTTCGTTCACTACAGCTCTCACCCTACGCCGGCGGCTCAGACGGCACCAACTCGCTGCCCTTACCAGCACGAGTCTCCCACTACAACTACTCGACTCATGGGAGAAGGGGAATCACGCTCCCGACTATCAAGAATACACTTGCAGACTTATCGCCACCAACATTAATTGAAGAAACATTCAACTATTCATTCTATCATACATTCATTAAGCCATTTATAGATCATTGACTATTCATTATTTATTATATTTAATAAAAAGAAAGACAATAAACATTAAAAGCAGTATTGAATAATTGCATTGCCCCTTCCACTTGCCAGCAAGCCTCCACTCACCATCATAAGGAGGTTTTTTAGTCTGATCCCAGACATATAGATATAACTAAGTAGTATTATTAGATGATATATTGTTTATAGCCTCATACATTTTCTATTGGTCATAGATAAAAACATATATACATTAATAGTAAAAAAAAAATTGTTGTATATTATAAAATTGTTCGAAATGTAATGTTTATTTTATGGCTCGAACTGCTAATTATGTAGTTCGGTGGATTAATCTCTCGCTATAGCGATTAGGAAGAAATAAGGGACAAGTGGTAGGGCTGAAAAGTATAATGTAATGTATTTGGAATTCAATTATTGTTTATTCTGGTTATGAATTATAATAATATTGTAGCGTTGTTGGTTGTTTCTATTGAGATAGAGAATTATTCTATTGTAGTGGTGCGAGTTCTTTCTTGTGTTCTTGGTTGTTGTTGATGCTATGGAGGTTATGTGGATGTTCAATATAGATTTTATGCTGATGTTGTAGGGATCAGCATGAGTTAGTCGAAGATGCTCTTCATGAGCGTGGGAAGATGATAATGGTAGTGGTAATAGTAATCAATAAGAATTCGTTGAGAATTCGAACACGATTTTATAGGGGCGTATAAGGTTTTTAGGAAGTAATTGTTACGTAATTCAACTGTACTCCAACGGAGAGTGGGAATTTTTGAGTGTTACTCAAGTTCAAGGATGGAAGGGACTTGTCACCGAGCGTGAATGGCTGAACTCGAGCCTCGATAATGTAAATACTTGAAGAAGGTGAGCGCACGGTCTCAGCCCTGTGTGGCCTGCTAGAGCGTATTGTATGGGTTTGTACATGTTGCGCGCAGCTTGATTCGAGCGAGTAACTAATTTTGTACAATTAATGGAGAGGAGGTAACTTATGAACTACCGTACTGGCCCGCCGGTTTGGTGACGTGTTTGGCGCATATTAATAATTACGATCCCAATAGCTTCACTGTTCGATTGCTACCCTGGTTGCAATATGTTTTTATAATGTCGCACGTATGCCTTTTAGATCGATTGTCGCATGGCGGGCGGTTTCCCCTTGGAAAAATGGCATGCAATCACCAAGATATCATCACCGCACTAAGAGCAAATTAAAAGAAGACTAGCCGGCTTACGCTGGACGATTGGTACACTGAAATCAAAAGATGGTCTCTTCAACAGGACACGCTTACGTCAAGAAAGGAAAGACGTCGATTAAATTGGGAAAAACATATTCAAGCAAAAGCTATCTCACCAATCTGACCGTGTTCAAGAATGCGAGAACATTTTTCCTTTTTTTGTCAGTGCAATAAAACATCTGGCAAGTATCATCGTAAAATTTGTATTTGGATTTCAAAACTTCGCTTGCTCAAAATTATCAAGCACTAGTGTCATAAAACATCTAGAAAAACAATACCATAAACACGGGAAAACCTATAGTTTTGACATCTGCATTTTTGTTCCGCTCGGCAACTACATCAAGCATTACTGCAAGCGGATCTTCTTTCCCCTTCCCGCTGTCTACAAGTTGCAATGCTGTCACCAGATGTGTTAGCGAACTCCCCCTTACCGCTGCCAACATGCTGTCGTATGCGGTAGCAGCAATGAGAGATCTGCTCATCATGAAGACCCAGAGACGACTAGGCCCTTAATTAACTCCGAAGCCAAAAGAGGCGCTGCCCTCGCACTATAAGGGAGGAGTCTCTGATTGGACAGAAAATAGGGAAGGGGTTCAAGTAAAACTCTTACTCTCTCGATACTTAACTCTCTTAATCCTTATCACTCGTGATATTTAACTGTCTTGATATTTACTCTTGATAGTTTTCAGTTAGTAGTATTTTCGTGATATTACTCTTTTCGAAGTGTCTCTCAGTTTTTTGGTATCTCTCTTTTAGTAATACTCTCTCAATATATTAAACCCTTGAGACATTTCATACTCAGTTAAGTTTTTAGTGAAAGTCTATTTAGCGCTATATCGGGAATGACTTACACTTTTTCGGATTATCCATTAACACTGTTACTGGAACAGTAGTTACTGCTCCGGAAGAACTACGATATAAACCCGTATGTCCACTAACGCAGTTCAAGAAACCTTAGTTACTTGTTCCAAGGGAGCTACTACAATCCGCCTATCAGAGTCCGAAGACGAGTCAACGATTAGTCTTTGTAAGTAGTATCTACTAAAATAATTATATATATATATATATATTGAGATTAAGAGTATTATATCGACAAGCACTAAGAACGAAGAAGCTATTCTTAAAACGACAGTGCGGAATAAATTCCAGTACGCGTCGTCAAGTTTCGCGCCCGCCAAGGACATGTCATTTCGTAACCCTCACCTTAGTTCAAGTTCGGAAGCTTACGAAAGTAAGCAAAACCCAGCGCAAGTGTCGACAATCCAGTTTCGCGCCACTCTGCGATATCTTTCAATCATAAAGCTGCATTCATAACCTCAACCACACACGTGCTCGTTCAAAAGGCGCTAGTGTCGATGAACGAAACTTCGCGCCATTCGCCATTTGTATTCAACAATCAAGCTGCATAGATTACTAAACGTTTGCCTCCGCAAACACATTAATTCAACACAAAAGTTAGTTCTACAATTAATAATAGTAATATTAGTCAACCTTGTCATTAATAAATAACAGAATAAATAGCATACTTCAGCCATATCTTTTTGTATTATTATAATAACCCTTCCACTTGTGACCTGTCATCGCTACCACACAACACCCGTGGTCTCTGAGTTATCAACGGCATCAAATTGTATCCGTCGAACCGACCTTGATAAAACAAATCGGAACGACGAGGTGCATTTTGTACAGACCGACCTTACATATCACGTTGGCTCAACATAAGGAGCACCTCTTACAGAGAACTACATGGATACTCTAATGCATAAAAATTGGCAACGTTGGCAGTCATATAAAATAATGGCTATGTTAATGTGTTCCAAGACAAAGGAGACACCCATCATGCCAAGGATAATCCCAAGACCAAAGCTTGCTGCAGCATTACTCCTACAAGTTCATATAGTTCATATAGTACGACCTCGCCACATTGAAAATCGACGTCAAGACAATCCATTGCTGGAATGATTTACGGGTAACCCTCACATGGATAAAGTCCCATCCATCAAGTTGAAAGAAATACGTGAAAACAGGGTTAACCAGCAGTTAAGACAAAACATCAAGAAAACATTGGAGATATGTCGCTGAGAAATTGAATTCAGCAGACGGTGCAAGAAACATACGTGCAACATAAATTCAAGAACATCCATTGTGGTGGACCGGACCACCACTTATCAAAATCGCCAGAATCATGACCATGGCGACTTACATTAGATAAACAA